GCACTGCTCATTGTGTGAAAGGGGGGAGCTCCCCAACCCCCTGATTGGCCATGCTCTGTGCATGACAGGGTACGGAGCCCCAACCCCCTAATGGGCCCTGCTCTGTGCATGACAGGGGGTGCCGCCCCACCTCCCCAATTGGCCCTGCTCTGAGCCCGACCAGGGGCTGCACCTAGGGATTGGGCCTGCCTTCTGCCACCCGGGAGCAGGCCTAAGCCAGCAGGTCGTTATCTCCCGAGGGGTCCCAGACTGCGAGAGGGCACAGGCCGGGCTGAGGGACCCCCTCTCTCCCCCCCCGAGGGCGCAAATTTTTGTGCACCGGGCCTCTAGTAGTAAATAAATGACTAGGACCCGGGCCTAAACATCAACAAATGCTGTTAAATGAGAAATATCAGCAATAACAGTAGGGCCTAAGACACATGTCAGTACACATATTTAATGAATTCTTTCTATTAAGTTACCTGTGTCTTCAAAAAGCCATATATTTTTATAATGAATGCATCTAGATCTAAATAGTGATGTGCCCCTAGTCGTTAAACTAGCTACCATTGAGTAATCATTGAATCCCAAGCAATAAACATTGAATAGGCATCTAATATATGTTAGGTATATGCATTTTAGAAGAGGAACATACTAGAAAAAATAGTAAAGGGGAAATGGGAAGAAAGAGTTCTCTAGAAGAGAGGCACCCACTCCCAAATTCCCCACTTGTTTGTTTATAGTTGCTAGAGAAATGAAAGACAATATGATATAGAGGAAGTGGTACAAACATTGGACTCACACCTGTGTTTGAACTTCACAGCCACACTTACCACTCCATGACCTTGACAAGTCACTTAGTCTGAGCCTCAGTTTTCTCATCTATAAAATGAAGATAATAATACTACTTACCTCATTGAGTTGTAAGAATTAAATGAGATGGTATTATCCAGGCTGAAGAACAGAAGAAAAAAAAGAACAGAATATACAATCATTAAGTACTCCAACATACTTGCAATGGGAGTACCAGAAAAAAAGAGAGAGAAAGAAAGCAGAAAAAATATTCTAATAAATAATGCCTGTAAGCATCCTAAATTAATGAGAAGCATTATCTTCACATCCAAAAATCTCAGCGAACTCCAAGTAGGATAACAAGAAGAAATCTACAGACACATTAAAATAAAAATGATAAAACACAAAGACAAAGTCTTCGAAGTAACATGAGAAAAATTAAACATCGTTAATTAAACATTGTTAAAAATTAAACAATGGATTGCCAATAAGATTAACAGCTAACTTCTCATTAGAAACAATGGAGGTGGCAGAGGGATAACATATTCAAAGTGCTCAAAGGAAAAAATGTCAATATAGCATCCTACATCCAATAAAACTATTTCTCAAAAATGATGAAACAAAGACATTCCCATGTAATCAGAAAAGGAGAATTTGTTGGCACACCTGATTTACAGGAAATAGTGAAGAAAGTTCTTCAGGTGGAAAGCAAGTGACCTCAGATAGTAGTTTGAATCTAAACATGCAAAAAATAACGGGTAAATTTAATTATCCTATATAATAAAAGGCTATGTGCAAATCGACCAAACGGTGGAACAGCCGGTCACTATGATGCGCACTGACCACCAGGGGCAGACTCTCAACTCAGGAACTGCCCCCTAGTGGTCAATGCACTCCCATAGGGGGAGCACCGCTCAGCCATAAGCTGGGCTCATGGCTGGCGAGCGCAGCAGCAGTGGCAGGAGCCTCTCCCGCCTCTGTGGCAGCACTAAGGATGTCCGACTGCCAGCTTAGGCCCAAGGAGCGGGCTTAAGACGTCAGTTGGACATCCCCTGAGGGTTCCCAGACTGCAAGAGGGTGCACATATTTCATGCACCAGGCCTCTACTGTAATTATAAAAGACAGTTTAGTTTCATTTTCCTTTTAATTAAAAAGTGTTATAGACCAGTATGTATGTAGTTGCATTTTGGGGCCTATAACGTATGAAACTGTAATACATTTGCCAATTACAGAACAAAACTTTTGAACTAAAGAAGTGACTCCAAATGGTAACTCAAATCCACTGGAACAAATGAAGAAAACAAAAAAAGGGGAAATAAGGTTAATATAAAAAGCTATAAATATATGCTAGCTCCCTTTCTTCTCTCTCCACTTATTTAAGAGACATAAAACTATGTTAAGTAGTAATTATAACAATGTATTATGTTTATAACGTAGAAATAATATATATAGCAATAATATCATAAAGAAGTAGGAAATGGAGTAGGTTTATATAGGAATAAGTTTTTATATCTCATCGGAATTAGGACATATCTGAAGACAATTTAGTTAGAATGTGCATGGTAAATCTTAGAGCAATCACGGTGATAACTGAAAATGCATAGTGAAAATATTTAAAATTTAAATGTTACATTAGAAAAATTTCAATGTAAAGTAACACAAAAGGAGAAATGGAGAAACAAAAGCATGAGACATATAGAAAACAAACAGTAAAAATGTAATCCTTAATATACCTATATGAATAATAATTATTATGAATAGATTAAACAATGCAATCAAAAGGCAGAGATTGTTAGCCTGGGGGGGGGGGATGAGGGAGACAAGATTTACCTCTATGCAATTTATCAGAGTTGTAGATTCAGAAAAACAAACAGATTAAAGGTAAAAGGATAGAAGGAATTTTAGGCAAACGACAACTATAAGAAAGTTGGAGTGACCATACTAATATCAGACAAAGTGCACTTTAAAATGATGACTGTTACTAGAGATAATGAGTGACATCTTATAATGATAAAAGAATCAATACATCAGAAAGATATAAAAATTATAAATATGTATGCACCTCACAACAGAGCACCAAAATACATGAATCAAAAACTGAACTAAATAAAGGGAGAAATATATAAGTGTACAATAAGAGTTGGGGAGTTTGCTACCCCATTTTCAATAATAAAATAACTAGACAGAAGATAAACAAAAAATTAGAAAACTTGAGAAATGCTGTCATGTACTAGGTGTACCAGTAAATAATGCGTATTTTTTTCAATAGATCGAGTTACACATATGTTGATATATATGCGATTTGATATGTATGCTATTTTGTTGTATGGACAAGAAGCTTCGAAACTTGATATGTCAAATTTTCTGAAGGTGTTAACATCGTAGATATTTTTACACTTAAAAATGTCAAATTTCATGCAAAAAAACATTTACGGGAAGTTTTAATTCATTATTTTATTTTGAAGAAAAGTGCTACTGAATACTTTGGGAAGCTTATGGTGAACATGCTCCATCTCAAGATACTTGCGAACGCTGGTTTAAATGCTTTAAAAGTGATGATTTTGATGTGAAAGACAAAGAACGTCCAGGTCAACCGAAAAAATTTGAAGACCATCAATTACAAGCATTATTGGATGAAGGTGCGTGTCAAATCAAAAACAACTTGCAGAGAAATTAAACGTTGCTCAGCAAACAATTTCCGATCATTTACAAGCAATGGGAAAGATTTTAAAGGAAGGAACATGGGTGCCACATCAACTGAACGAATGACAAATGGAAAACCGAAAAGTCATCAGTAAAATGTTGCTTCAACAGCACAAAAGAGTCTTTTTTTGCATCAAATTGTGACTGGCAATGAAAAGTGGATTTATTTTGAGAATCCCAAACTCACAAAATCATGGGTTGATCCAGGTCAACCATCAACATCGACTGCATGGCCAAATCGCTTTGGGAAGGAGACAGCGCTCTGCGTTTGGTGGGATCAGGAAGGTGTGGTGTATTATGAGCTTCTAAAACCAGGTGAAACCATTAATACTGATCACTACCAACAACAAATAATCAATTTGAACCACATTTTGATTGTGAAATGACCAGAATGTTCCAGAAGACACTGCAAAGTAATTTTATTCTATTGGGACATATGCACAAATTACCTGAAAGATGAGGGAAATGTGTAGCTAGCGATGGACATTACTTTGAATAAAGCACTTTTGATGTTTCTCTTGAAATTATCATGTTTTTCTTTTATTACAAAGTCCACATTATTAACCGGTACACCTAGTATATCTTAAAGAGATCTGTAGAATACTTCACCCAACAAGAGCAGAATATACATTCTTCTCTAGTGCACATGAAACATCTACATGATATACCATAAAACAAACCTCAAATATAAGTGGACTGAAGTCATGCAAAGTATTTCTCGGGACCACATAGAATGAAACTAGAAATAACACAAAGTTAGAAAACTAAAAAATATGAATTAAACACACTTAACATGACTAGTGGGTTAAAGAAGAAATCACAAGAGAAATTAGGAAATCTTTTGAGGTGAATGAAAATGAAGACTCAACATACCAAGACTTTTGGGATGCACCTAAAGCAATACTTTAAAAATTATAAATACAAATGCCTGTATTTTTAAAAGATCACATATCACTAACCTCACTTAATACCTTAAAACACTGGAAAAAGAGGATCAAACTAAAAGTAAGCAGAAGGAAGAAAAAAA